GGCATTCCCCTGGAGGAGCTGGAGGAAGTGTCTGGAGAAAGGGAAGTCTGGGTATCTTTGCTTAGACTGCTGCCCCCGTGACCCGGTTCCAGATAAGCGGAGGAAAATGGATGGATGGAAACTCAGATTCAAAACATTAAAAACTATAGCCAAATGGATTTCACAAGTGAGATAACAGCTTCCTGTAAGACCTGTGAGACCTAAACCTGTTCTAAACTATATAATCTATATTATATATAACTACACAAAAATGGCAATAACGTATTTTAACTACTTGAATTACTATGCAAATCTGACTGTATTTCAACTTCCATCAAGCTACTGCAAATTGTAGTACTACTAGTTTAATTACATTTAGTTCACTCTCATATTTGGTAGGAATTGTTACCTTGAGGAAGTGGTTGGGAACACGACTCCACAAAACAGGCGTGAGAAAGTGGACATGAAGCCGTGGAGGACACTGAGGAACTGGGTTCCTCCTCTCACTCTTGAACAGACCAGCTGACAGAGGCATCACATTCTGTCAGGGAACAGAGACATGCTAAACGATGTTACAACATCACTTAATTGTGCTGACCAGTGATAATCTGGTTATTCTTATGTCACAGACAGAGGCTATCATTTGTAATTTTGACTAGTTGTCAAACTTGAAAATGGAAGGTCCCATATGAACGTGTCAGAGGGTAGACAGCAGACAGAGTAGCAGATGACAAGGAGAAGATAGTAGTAGGCAAACCATTATGTTTTAGTGGAGACTGTGAGAGAGGGTGAATTATCTCTCTTATCTGTGAAATATTTTGGTTTTGCTACTTCTATGTGCATCTTTTTTGCTGGCCAAAATGAACTCAAAACAACAGCTCAGTGTAAGATCGACTAGACAAGACAAGTACTCAAACATGTGGAAAATGTGTCACTGCAATTAAAAATCCTAGACATAACAACAGAACAATTTAAAGAGACCATGGCATGCTTTTCCTTGTTTTCTGACTTATCTAAAATGTTACAACGGTGAATTATCATCTTAAACATTACCTAAAGCTCAAAAAATGAGGTGTACATACAGTAGGTTCTAGTACTTCTATGAAGAAGCAACTCAGTTTATACAAGTCTCACAAACTCTGGCTAGCGAGACTTTTTTTAAACAAAATATTATTGATTAACGGTAATTTTAAAAAACACATATTGCATGTCTGTTAATGTTTGTTTCTGTAAGGTTAGAGAGAATTGCTGTAAGGCTGGAGAAGTTACTATGTTATACCATATAATACAGGGTTATTCAAAAAGAATGAACCGATTTCATTACAATGTGTAATGAAATCGGTTCATTCTTTTTGAACCCTGTATATACTATATTATGCCAGTAAAATATGGGGTTTCTCACTTTGTTTAGAGTGTTACACATCTCCTTTCATCAGTACATAGAGCGTTGTTTACCTATCTATGGAGGAGAAATTCAACTTAATTAATACTGTTGCGTTTCATTGTGCTGTCCAACAAAATACTGGCAGCAGGAGGTGTGTGCATTCATAAACTATTCTGTCATTTTAGGAAGAGGCTCTTCTGGTTTTATTGTTCTGAAATAATTACAGACTGGTTAGAGTTATGAGGGGTGCAAAGCTAATCTAGAAGTACCCAAGATTAAACATTAAATGGCTGAAAATGAGAAAAATGAGCAGCCATGTGTTATGACACTAGAATTTAATAAGAAACTGCTGCAGTATACATGCAGTTACTGGTGGTGTGCCTGTATGTACTCTGTTCTCTTTACCTTTATTCGTCCCAGTTCAAACTGGAACACATTGGGGCTAGTGGCTTTGGCAAAAACTGCAGGGAACAGCTTGGTACTGGGCTCCACCT